AAAAAAAAAAATTTAATTTACAAAAGCAGGAATTCAGTGAAGCTGCCTGGTTGGAACAGCAGGAAGAGCTGCAGGAAGAGGACTCCAGAGCCCATGAAGAGCAAGGCCACCAAGGTGATGAGGAGCTCTTTGTGGATATCTCAAATGTACCTGAAAGAGGTAACCTCATAAGTGAAGAACCAGGCTGTAAAGAACATGTCAGTGGCCAACAGCACCATGGTCAGATGGGGGAAGAGAGCCAAGCTCACGGGCTTGGTGTATCTGTGCATGACCTCGGGCTCCATTTTGGCGGGCACAGGGTAATCTACCACTCCTCTGCCTACTTATTTGATCTGTGACCTTGGACATGTGTCTCTGAACTTTAGCTTCTCCATCCATAAAGTGGAAAAAATAACAACTAATGTATAGAATTCTCATGGAGAATTAAAATGAGATGTGTCTATAAGGCACTCTATGCAGTACCTGACAGACAGTGGGTCTTCAACAGATTTACTTCTCTTTCCTCTCCCGCTCAATTCTAGGCGCTATAGAAATATATATGTTTGAAATTTATAGCATCTATTAAAAAATAAAAGGAAAGGAAGGAAAAAATAAAAGGAAAGGAAGCTAAAATATTAAGCACCCATTTTGTGCCAGGCATTTCATGTGATATTACTGAAGTTAGGTAAAACACATGCTTTCATTTATTTACTCATTCATTCATTCAAGAAATATTTCTTCGGCACCTGCTGTGTGCTAGGCACTTGCTTCAGCAATGGAGACACAGCAATGAATACAATGGATTAAGTCCGCCTTGAGTTTACATTCTAGAGATTTATTCCCTTTGCTGTACCTTGATGCACAAATAAAAATCTTGGAAAATTAAAAAAAAATCCAAATTAGATATTAGAAAGGCTTTATGGAGGAGGGTAAGTGTAACCTAGACTCAAAGGACCATAGGATTCCAAGATAAGAGGTGAGAGTGGAGTTGGGAGGAACAGCATACTCAATAACCCAAAGGCAAAAAAAGGTGGGACCCATGAGGAAGCATGAGTTTGATCTGGTCATTGGGTGTGGTGGGTAAAAGTGAGTAACAGGAAAGAAATTCTCTTGGAAATGTATATGGAAATCAGATGGTAGTGCATATGGAAAGGCTGACTGATGAGTCCAGACTTCATCTGTAGACCAGGGAGGTAATAAGATTGAAAATATGCTTCAGAAATATTAAATGGGCAACACTGTGTAAATTGGATTAAAGGGGAGAGACCAGAGACAGAGAGAGACTCAGGAGGTTGTTGATTAAACATCACATATGTTTGGGTTTTTGCTGTTGCTGTTTTTATGGCCAATGACAAGCAGAACCTCAAGAAATTTAGGTAAATTCTTTTTCATGAGAGTTTGCAAGGGTAAAAGTAGGTTTAAAAAAATATATCGCTTCTCGGCCTTTTGGCTAAGATCAAGTGTAGTGTCTGTTCTTATCAGTTTAATATCTGATACATCCTCTATCCAAGGACAATATATTAAATGGATTTTTGGAGCAGGGAGTTGGAATAGGAGCTTGCTCCGTCCACTCCACGCATCGACCTGGTATTGCAGTACTTCCAGGAACGGTACACCCCCTCGGGGGTTAATAAATAAATAAATAAATAATAAAAAAAAATAAAGTACCTGTTTCATCTGAGAAAGCACTAACGATATCGCATAAAGAACCAGTTCCTTTAATACATGAAAGAGAGTGTCTTCAGAAGAAGAACAAACTAAATTAGATATCAGGGAGGATAAAACCCAAGACAACAGACCTTATGGTATAATTTTCACACTAAGTTGATTCTTAGGCCAGAGCTTTAAAATGTTTGCTAGTAAATTCTGACTCCTGAATGACTTTTTGTCATTAAAGTCCTTATCATAAAATAAAAAAAAAAGTTAAACACGTATATAAGAACACTTGCAAGGTGACAAATGACCTCAGTCAATTTTTGCTCATCAAGGAAAGGAGGTTTTGGGACCAGTTTGTGCTCCTTCTGGCTAGTACTGCTATGGGTCTAGCTCCAGCCTTCAGCTGATGGAGAACAACCCATTCCCAGACCAGCAGGTGTCACACAGCATTCTGCCTTCAAAACATTATCAGCTTTTGCCACCTTCTCTTGGTTTCTGCAGAATCAACCCAAACACTCCCAGACTGAGGTCATTATCTTCTCCCATTCCTTCCCCTGCCAACTTCTTCTTTTTGCCTTCTTATTTGTTCAATAAAAATATATTTAGCACTGTCTTGTACCTGGTCCATACAGATCTCTGGGATCTCTGCTAAAGTCATCACTGACAAATAAACCCTTGGAGTCACCCCCAACATCTCTGTCCCTGTTAGCTCTCATGTCTTCTCAGTAACCAAGGCCTTTGGAGTTCACCTCCCCAAGAGTCCCCTAATTGATCTTTACTACCTCCCTCTTCCTCCTCTACCTCTCCCTCTACCCCCACCCTGTCTCTCTCCAATCCAGGTTCTCTTTCATGGAAGGATCCAACAAAAGGTGTGGTCCATAAATCATACCTTGCAGCAGCAGTATCACCTGGAAGCTAGTCAGATATGAAGACTCTCATGACAGACTCTGCATTTTAACAGAACCCCCAGATGATTCATATGCACACGTAAGTTTGAGATCACTGGCTGAAAGCACAAATCAAACCCTGTCACTCCCCAGCTGACATTCTAGTCCAGGGGCCAACAAATTATATCCCAAAGGCTTAATCTGGCTCACCACCTGTTTTTGTATCCTCTGCAAAGTAACAATGTTTTTTACACTTCTAAATGATTGGGGGGGGGAATCCAAAGAAGAATAATATTTCACAAGAGAATTATATGAAGTTCAAATTTCAATGTCTATAAATACAGCTGTATTGGGATGCACCATGACCAGGCACTGACATATTGTCTAGGGCTGTTTTTGCAATACAATGGCGGAGTCAGTAGTTACAATAGAGACTGTTATGGCTAGCAAATCCTAAAATACTTGCTATTTGGCCCTACATAAAAAGTTTGTTGACCTTTGTTCTAAGGAGAAAACATATATGGCAAAAAAGAAAAAAAAAATGCTAGCTATGAGATATAAAGGGAAAAAAAGGAGACCTGAACAAAATGCAGTCTCTCCTGGGTACCCATACCATAGCAGGTGCTTATGACCATCTATCATCCCACATGTCATTTTGTTGGTTTAGTCTTTGCTGACTGGGGAGGAGAGTCAGTTACCTTCATTCAGTTTTCTACTGATACCTCCCCTCAGAAGGACAGAGGGTGGTTTTTAAACATAATGAGAGTAGGAGGATCATCCTGGGGATCCAGATATGAAGAAGGAATCATGAGGGATTTGAGGGTTAATAATTTCATATATAATAATTTCATGGAACCTCTTTGCACTTGAGTCCTAATTTCAAGGAAAACAAAACAAAACAAACAAACAAAAAAAACTTCAGGCTTTGGAGAACTAAATAAATCACCAAAGGGATACAGTACTTTGTTAGGGGCAATAATTCTTCCACTAAAGGAATTTCTGAAAATTCCAAAATTCGGTATCTTAAATATCAACAACACCCCACCTGCAGGCCTTCTCTTAGCCACATTCTCTGATTTTATGTCTATATGAGACATTAAGAAGATCAGCTCAGATTTCACTCATTTTCTGTAGGCAGATCCTTTTAGGAATAACACTGTTGGAGCTATTTCTAGTGGCTTCCTCTTTGCTTAATTGATACATTCCTTTAGAGTCACTTTAAACCACTGAAGCAGGTGTGAGAAAATAGTCTGAATTCCAATTCCATCCCAGAATGAGAAAGAAGGGGAAGTCCACAGAACAAAAACCTATCAGATAAGTTGTCACAGAGACACTGAACATCTTATGGACAGAAAGTGGTTGCCTTTCCATTCCTTTTCCCCCATCCCTACCTTTACATTTTTGGGAAAAGTTAAAGGAATGATTTTGCATCTGCCCCAAAGCAAGTTATATTGCCAGCTGGCAGTGTAGTCGAGTACTATGGTAGGTCCCTGGGCTACAGCAGGAAATAAGATATTGCTCCTGTCGTGGAGAAGTAGACTGCTTTGTGGAAAAGGCAGATGCAGAGGCAGATAACTATAACACTGATTTAAATGCTACAGTTCACAGTGAGTAAAGATATTATGTGAGCACAGAGGGATGCCGAACTCAGCTTCTGGGGTTAGAAAGGCAACCTAGAGGAGATGTCTTGAGCTGAGGTCTAAAGAACAAATAGAAATCAACAGATAGAGGGCACAAAGTTAGGACTAAAAGGGGTATTCAAAGCACAAAGATACCCAAGATAAAAGTAAATAGAAGGGGGTGCCTGGGTGGCTCAGTGGGCTAAAGCCTCTGCCTTCTGCTCGGGTCATGATCCCAGGGTCCTGGGATCGAGCCCTGCGTCGGGCTCTCTGCTCAGCGGGGAGCTTGCTTCCCGTCCTCTCTCTCTGCCTGCCTCTCTGCCTACTTGTGATCTCTGTCTGTCAAATAAATAAATAAAATCTTTTAAAAAAAAAAGTAAATAGAAGGCAAGTGGGGTACAGTAAGAGAGGAGAAGAGAAAAGCCAGCAGAGTCAGGTAAAGAGTGGTGTGTTTGCTAAACCAGAGAGTCTAGACTCCATGCTGAGGACAATGGGAGTGTACTGTAGAATTATTGGGGGGGCTGACATGATCAGAGTTGTGTTTAGAGGGTCACTTGGGTGGCTCAGTTGGTTAAGCAACTGCCTTCAGCTCAGGTCATGATCCTGGAGTCCCACGTTGGGCTCCCTGCTCAGCAGGGTGTCTGCTTCTCCCTCTGACCCTCTCCCCTCTCATGCTCTCTCTCATTCTCTCTCAAATAAATAAATAAAATCTTAAAAAAAAAAAAAAGTTGTGTTTAGAAACCAAATCGGCTGCTGTGTAGGAAGAGCACTGGAGAAGGTCAAGATTGGAGGTAAAGAGAAGAATTGAGATAAATGCTGCAGGGAAGAAATGCTAGCGACTTAAACCACCATCAAGACAATGGTGGGCGGGGGGGAGAAGAAGACCAAAGCCACAGTATATGGCTATCAGCTTCTGCCCTGTGTAAAGCATGTTCCCAAGGTCGAGTGGTTGCTGACCAGACTGGTCTGCTAACCAAGTACTGTGGCCCCACAGGAGAAAGAAAGGGACCCTTTTTCATTCATCAGCCAGATAAGGTACGATGTTATTATTCTCACAATGTCACCAGATGTATGGGCAGTGTTGAAGGCCCTCTCAAAAATCAACATATCCCAGAGATTTTTAAGAAGAAAGCAGTTGATCAGAAATAGGAGTTAGAGGGAGAGAATTCAACGAGGACACTGAAAAAAAGGGCCGCGGCCACGTGCAGCCTATTCGCTGCACCAACTGCGTCCGTTGTGTGCCCAAGGACAAGGTCATTAAGAAGTTTGTTGTTCGGAACATAGTAGAGGCCGCCGCTGTCAGGGATATTTCCGAAGCCAGTGTCTTCGACGCCTATGTGCTTCCCAAGCTCTGTGTGAAGCTACATTATTGCGTGAGTTGTGCCATTCACAGCAAGGTAGTCAGGAATCGCGCTCGTGAAGCACGGAAGGACCCAACACCCCCACCCCGATTTAGACCCACGGGTGCTGCCCCACGACCTCCACCAAAGCCCATGTAAGGAGCTAAGTTCTTAAGGACTGAAGAAAAGTTGTTATCCAGAAAAAAAATAATAAATGGCAATTACACTTCCAAAAAAAAAAAATTGTTTGGCCCTTGTATCTTGCCATTCACCACGGCAGGAAGCTCCTCCTCAGCCCCGGCTCCACTTTGCCTGTTCAATACAATTCCTTTTCTTGCTATCATGAATCTCTTCGATAAATTCAAATAAGTTCATTCAAATAAAAAAAGAAATACATTTTACTTGTATTTAACATTTTTTACTTATTTTATTCTTTGTCTTTTCCTGGTTTTATTTACACCACATCTGAGACAACGTGGTATAGTGAGAAGAAAGTTGGCTTTGTTGTCAAACTATGAATCTCAGCTTGGCCGACAGTTATAGGACCCTTCACTCTTCTGAGCTTTAGTTAATTCATTTGAAAAATGGAGATGATAATCCTTATGGTAGGATGGCTATAAAAGGCGGTGTACATAAACCATCTCACCTTAGTATCCAGTACATCTAGTAGTGGAAATGTAATACCTTTAGCTACTATTGTTATTATTTACTGATCAAATATTCTGTAGCATATTTCTTTCTCTATTCCCATTTTCTGTTTTGATCTCAACTTTTATAGTCCTGTCCTTTTTTCTGTCAATATTATGACAGCAGTTAACATAGCTTCTAGAAGTGCTTGCCTCTTTGCAAAACCCTCCCACTTAAAGAACTTTTCAAATGTACATTTTCACCTCATAAAACTCCATTGATAATTCTAAAACCATATCCAAAATACAACTCCTTAAAAATAACAGATTTACTCTTATGAGTACTGACAGTACATGTGCTTATCTGGGAAGTTTTCCTGAAATTTACTGGAAAATAGAAGAAGAATCCAGATCTTGTTAGGCCATGTAGCTTACATGATTTTTCATAAACAGTAATTCTACCTTACATAATTTGGTTTAGAGAGCTTTAAATGTATACTGTGTGGCCAGCACTGCATGCATAATTTAGGGACATCATAAAGAAGAAGAAAGCATGGTTCCTCCTCTTGGGAAATGGGGCTTCATTTTCTATTTTCAGTTGGGGATTTTAAGAAGTTGATTCTATTTCAATAAAACTGTATTTACTGAAACATTTAGGTAGGAAGCAAGATCTTAGCCAGGAATTTTTAGTTAATCTTCAGCGGCCTATGCATAAAAAGATGTTACTGGAAACACTTTCAGATTTGTTTATCCTTAAATAATGTGGTCCATTTTCATTTTGAGAAAAAAAGGAATTCCACAGAAAGAAAGGCTTGCATGACTGGCTGAGTCATCCCATGTAGATTTTTTCCAGTAAGCTACATTATGCTGGATGCTGTTCAAGAGGGAAAATGTCAAACGCACTGGGGTTCAGTCTGGCATGTGGGTGGGTTTACTCAAGCACAGAAATCAAATATAGGCATTGGAGCCAATACTTTGGAAAACAACAGAATGGCTTACAAATCAGAGTTGGAATTTCCAGAAGTTTTTTTCAGCTGAATCCTACAAATATAAGTGAATAATGCACAGTGAACATTTTAATGACATTTATTGTGTTTCTTTCTTAGAACCTTAAAATAGAAAAAATTAGACATTAGACATTATAACATTTAGCCTTCTTTCCATACAACAAATTATATGACACATATCTCTGACAGATTCTCATACTTCTGCTTAAAAACTTCCGATGATTCATTCCTTTGTAACACAGCCCCCTTCCTTTGACAGAGGGAATGCAGAGGAAAAGACCTGGATGGATATAAGCCAAGGTAATAATAGTGGTTACCTATGGATGAGTGAAATCATGAGTTTTTGTTCTTCTTGTGCTTCTCTACATTTTCTAACTTTTCTATATAATGATTTTGCATTTTTTATAATATGAAAAAAATAAGTACTTGAGAGCCATGAAGAATTCAAATACTAACATTAAGATTGTTCCAACTTCCCACTATAAAAGTCAAGGCAGATTAATTGGTTGAAAATTAGGCACCAAAATTACCAATGTTCCAAAAGTCTGTAACTAGGAAATACCAATTTCAGCCACATCATTATGTCAACCAAGTTACTGTTGTTCAAATCATGTTCAGCTAAATTTTTGTTGGTCATATTTTTTTTATAAGATTTATTTGCCAGCGAGAGAGAGAGCATGCACCCAGGGGCAGAGGGAGAGAGAATCTTAAGCAGACCCTGTGCTGAGTGAGAAGCCCATTGCAGGGCTTGATACCAAGACCCTGAGATGATGACCTGAGACGAAATCAAGAATCAGATGCTTAATCGACCAGGCCACCCAGGTACTCCTAAGTGATTTTTTTAAATATTAAGCTTCACATTTATTGCTGTTAAGTTTGATTGTATCATCTTAGTTTGTTCCTTCTTATGGGGTGTTAAGCGGAGCATTTAACAAGCCGTAAGGGACAAATTTTTCCTGGATGAGAAAACATGTTCTGAAGAATTAATTATTTGTCCTCATAACTGCTTCCTCTTCCCTGCCTCAGAGGTCCTTGGCCTTCTCTCCCTGTTTCCAATAAATTATTAGCCAACTCCTGGTAAATCATATGTTTTAAAATAAATCATAAGTATTAAACACCTACTATGTACCTTTGTTTCATAAGTAACATAGGTTACCCCACCTACTCTTCAAAATAGCCCATTTGGTATAGGTATCATTACTTCCATTTTTATAGTGGAGAAACAGAGGCTCTGAAATTAAAGCAATCTTATTTATTTATTTATTTATTTATTTATTTACTTTTTAGAGCCACACAGTTACTCATTAACAAGGATCAGATTTGAACCTACATGGGACTGGGTTTAATGTCAGTGTTGCCTCCAGGTATTTTTGGCCTTGGCTGCCTGCCCTTACCCTTGCCTCGCTGGTCTCAGATAGACTCTTGTCACCTTGGCTGCCTGCCCTTACCCTTGCCTCGCTGGTCTCAGATAGACTCTTGTCACCTTTCCTCTGATCTCCAACACTGACCTTGACACCATTCGGGTTTTTTTCCTTTGCATGATCCCTGATCATGTTCAATGCAGTGCTTCCCACCTGTCTGGAGTCTGGGTATCCAATGTCTAAGCATTACCTTCAAGATCTGTAAGAGTTCATATTTGCTCATTTACATTTTCTTCTATTTAGAAAATTTGTGAAATATCAATAGAGAAATTTTCCAGACTGACATATTTCCACACAGATAATTTGGGTGTATATTAAACAAACTGCAATTCATCTTCTTGTTGATGAGCCTATTTCAAATACCTTGCTGAAACCAGGCTTAGAACATTCTCTTGTTCTATCATTTTAGTAACTTTCAATTAGTAAACAGAAAATTGAAATCGTACTGGACTATATCAGCTCAGGTACCTGAATAGTTCAAAAACAGAACGGGGTTGATGCAGACACTCAAGTAATGTCATCAAAACCTGATCTCTCCGTTTCTTGGTTCAGTGCTCCTCTATCTCAGCTTCAATCTTGGGCTTTATATGGTACAAGATAACTGCCAGCTGCTCCCACCTTACATCCTCCCACCTCCAGTACATACAAATCACTTCCACTGTTTTAGAAATTATAGGAGGCATATACATGAGTAAAAAGGAGCCCTTGATCACAAAAAGGCAGCACAGCCTAATAGAAAAAGCACATGTTTTGGTGTAAAATAGATCTGGATTTGAACTTGCACTTATCCTTGAGTGAGTTATTCAAACTTGGTTTCCTTAATCATAAAATGGAGATACTATGCAGTTCATACAGTTGATGTGAAGTTAAACTCCTAACATTTAAATCAAATAATGTAAATAAAATGTCTACCATAATGCCAGGAATATCAAAGGTATATGACATATGAACAAAGGCTTGCACACAATGTTAAGAATATGAGTAGGGACACAGGCTCCATAATATTGAGACATCTCTAGTATACTAGTTAGAGAGTTAGAAGGCTCTAACTCTCTAATCCCAATTGGGGTGATGGGTTGGAAAAGTTTTCATGAATGAGATGTATTTGAAGTGGATCTTTTTTTTTTTAAGATTTTATTTATGTATTCAACAGAGAGACAGAGAGATCATAAGCAGGGGAAAGAGCAGAGGGAGAAACAGGCTCCCCATGGAGCAGGGAGCCCAGTGTGGGACTTGATCCCAGGACCCTGGGATCATGACCTGAGCTGAAGGCACACACTTAACTGACTAAGCCAGCCAGAAGCCCCTTGAAGTAGATCTTAAAAGGATGTATGAAATTATGATAAGTAGCTCTAAGAGAGAAGAGCCAAGGGCATATTCAGGATATGATTGAAGTAGAGGTTGTCAGTAATGGAAGTGACTATGGGTGCACTTGGAAAGGCAGACTGAAGCCTATTCTTGTGGGTTGTGGATATGAGTAAGGAGTTTGTGTTTAATTCATTAAATGAACCCCACCCCCCCTAGAGTGACATGACAAGGGTTGAGCTGTAGGAAGGAAGACTAACAGTGGTATACCCAATGGATAGCAAAATCAGGAGACAGAAGGCAGAGGCAAATTAGGAAACTATTTATAATAATTTATAACAGTCTGACCCCAGAAAGTCTCCCCCAGCCCTGCCCCCACCCCACCCCCATCAAGAGGGGTGATCCACATGTCCCTTTCCCCACTGGGTATGGCAGCCACTCTGTAGGCACTGCAGTCACCTGCTGGTGTGGCCACCAGCACACTGCCACCCTCATGTGCCACAGTTATAGTCCCCAGAGGAGTGGGAAGAACACACCTTTTGCCTTTGCATCACTCCATTCTAAAGGATCCCCAAAGCAGGGCTATCTGATACCATCAGGTGCCCTGATGTTTTAGAGGAACTACAAATTCAGTTATTATTACAGCTCCTGGTGGGATCCTCGCTTGACCCACTGGACCCACAAATCCTGAGTCTAGATTCATGATCTCAGAAGAGTTCTCAACCTGGAGCTATGTCTGGAGCATCCTGACCAACTTGCAAGACACATATGTTTGTATCATAATTAGTCCTTTTGAGTGAATGGCTGAGTATCATCTTAATTCAACAACTCAATGTTTAAGTTATAACATCATCTAGGGGCCCTGCTCCATGAGATTC